CAGAAGTTAGGGTTCTGATAATCCAAAACCTGCACTGGGCTCATTGATATATCCTGGCAATCGTTTCCCTTGAATTTAACACATTTTGCAAATACTTGATTAAAATATTCAGTTGTGCTTTAAGGAACAGAAGCTTGCATTTTCTGACATTAACTCCGAATACCTTTAGACAGGGAGAGGGGAGGGGTAGTGAGAGAAAGCCAAAAACGGATCTTTTCAGAACTTTATTGTGCTGCGTATTTACATCCAGTCCGACAGACCCACATCTGGCGTGAACAGGGAAAAGCCCTTCTGAAAGCAGAGTGCCGACATTCCAAGTAAAGCTTGGTGTATAAGGAGGATGTGCGCTTTAGATTAAGGCACAGCTCTGGCTTCAAACCACATGCTTAGGCAGGCAGCCAGTGGCCATGCCAACTGCACTGAGCTCAGCTGGGGGAGGCCACTTTTCAAAGCAATCCACTACCTGGTGAACAGCTACACTGAAGCTGGAGGGGGAAAACTAATGTCCACAATTAGTTACCCATGTAGTGTGTGGATAGTTGCTAAGGAACTTAATACATTCGCTTTTAAAAGAAAAATCTCCCCCATTCTTTAAAAAAAAGTAGCCCTCGACATAAGAACTTTGTCACTGTAGTGAATTACTTTTCTATGGTGACTTTCCCCAGTGACCCGGACTGAATACAGTCCAGAATACAGTCTTGCATACAGGCTGGGTGATCAGTATGCAGCTGTTCTCTATACGAGTATACAACTGTCCAGTAGAGCAGAAATTGCAAAAAAGAAACAGCAAGACAATTTATACAGGCAAGATTTCCTCCCCCCCCCCACCTAACAAAACATTCAGTGGTGCCTGTCCATAAGAGAGCCAGTCTTGGAGACCATAGATGGAAGACAAATATAAAAGGAGAATTGATAGGTTGGGGTACCACACTTTGGTAATACAGAATCTTCTGAAAAACACAAAAATAGTACCTTTAAGTCAAAAAGCGCAAGAAGAGTAAATTATTGCAGTACTTAGCTGATGAAGGTTCTGTGCCCAGAGATGTTTAAAGTGCTATTCTGGTATATAAGAGTTGTGAAAGCAGTTACAGTAATTTATGGCCTTATGCCGATGTAGTCAGGACATCCTCTGGCACTGCACTTTATGCTCATTCAACTGCTGACATATTTTAAGTAGCAACATAGTTAAAGTTCAGTATTAAAAGGACAGCTCTTTAGTGCTGACCCCCCCCACCTCCACCTAGAATTGCTAGAGGTGAATATTCACCTTAAGACAACGGCCTTTGGGGCTTTTAAGCAAAACGCTGAAAACATAGTCTGTTAAATTTCCTGAGTGAAAGATTGCCCCACTATAGGCCAAATGTGGGTATGGGTTAGAACGTCTCTCCCTTTCCACACTGAAACCAAATTCTTTCAGGATTCAGTCTGAAAATCGATCACACAAGTATCTGAGCTTCAGTTCGTCACTCGAAACCATCTTCAGGTTTGACATTGTGAAGGTACCATGCAGTGTGCATATTTTTAAGTAGATTACCCGCTTCAGAAGTATTTTTAAATCAGTAAACAGCTGAGATTACATCACCCTATAGACACCGCACTTTTATAAATATGTACAAAAATATATCAGTAAACTAGAACCACATGATAATATGAGAATCCAGTCATCATCCATATACAATGTGTGGTTTAGATGAGAATTGGCTTTCTGAAAAACAAAACAATTTGTCCAGAGAGTTACTGCCACATTCATGGTCTTCAGACAACACATAAGGTTAGCTTCAGATAGTTTGGCTAGAGAAATTATCACATGGTTATTAAACATGAGACACTTGTTACCACTTATGTGTTCCAATGGTCAAGTTGCATCAGAATAATTATCATGGTCAGTACAGCACAATAAACTAACAAGAATTTTACTGAAGTGCTCTTAAGAACATTTATGGTAGCTGGATACCTGCCAGTGTAGTAAGTCCTATTTAACCCGTAGTCCACAACTCAACAAGATTACACATGACACTCTATAAGCATTTGGTAGTCCGTTGTCATTACAGGGTCTGAAGGTTTCTCCCAACCCCTGCTGATCACCTCCTTATTTCTCTGGCTGAAGTCCGTTCACCTAATTCGTCAAGGCACCCCAGAACTGACCAGTCTTCAGCTACTGTATATTGTCCGTCCCCAGCAGCAGAGTGAGGTTAATCCACATACGTGACTTCTAGAGCTAACCCACTGCTAGTCCTTGAGTGACACTAGTG